GGGGGGGGGGGGTTGTTTGTTGTTTTTCTTGTTTCTATGACCTTTCATTACTACCTTCATGTGTGTTAAAAATGTTTTCTAATGTATCACTTTAATGCTTTTTTGGTTTGGTTTGGTTTGGTTTCATTTACTGTGTAAATTTTTCAATTAGTTTTTTTGTGGCTCTTCTAGAGATTATAATATACAGCTTAACTTAAAGCCTTCCCGTTCAGTCTAATATTAACTTATTCCTAATAACATAGAGAAGCTTTGCTTTGATATAGCTTCCTTCCCTACCATTCCCTTTCTGTTATTGTCACACAAATGACACCTTTATATATATATATATTTTTTTAACGTTTATTTATTTTTGAGACAGAGAGAGACAGAGCATGAACGGGGGAGGGTCAGAGAGAGGGAGACACAGAATCTGAAACAGGCTCCAGGCTCCGAGCTGTCAGCACAGAGCCCGACGCGGGGCTCGAACTCACAGACCGCGAGATCATGACCTGAGCCGAAGTCGGCCGCCCAACCGACTGAGCCACCCAGGCACCCCAAATGACACCTTTATATAAGCCAATCAGAATAGTTTTGTAATTTTTGTTTTATGTATTTTCTTTTAAACAAGTTTGGAGAAGAAAAGAGTTTTGAAATATGTATGCTGTCTTTTTAATTTGTCTACAAAATTACTTTTTACCAAGTGCGCGTATCTGAGTTGCCAACAGCCGAGCGGACTGCCTTCAAAACGTCTCCTAGGTCAGGTCTGCTGGCAACAAAATATCCACATCGTTGCTTACCCAAGAACAGTTTTATTTCCCCATTAAAAAAAATTTTTTTTAATGTTTATTTATTTTTTGAGAGAGACAGAGACACAGCAGGAGCAGGGGAGGGGCACAGAGAGGGGGAGACAGGATCCGAAACAGGCTCCAGGCTCTGAGCTGTCAGCACAGAGCCCGACGCGGGGCTCGAACTCACAAACCGCGAGATCATGACCTGAGCCGAAGTCGGACGCCCAACCGACTGAGCCACCCGGGCGCCCCATTTCTCCTTCATTTTTAAAGCTAGATCTGCTAGCTATTGACTTCTTGGTCAATGGTCTTTTCCTCTGTGACCTCTGAGATTGCTAGTGAGAAGTCAGCCACTACTCTTGTTGAGGACTCCGTGTCCCTGGGGACTTGTTTCTCTCGTGCTGGTTTTCAGGATTGTGTCTTTCCCTTTGACTTTCGACAGTCTGATTACAATGGGCTTAGCTGTATTTCTTTGGATTTATTCTACTTGGAATTTGTTGATTTTTTTTTTTGTTTTGTTTTTGGATATGTACAATGTTTTTCATCAAATCTGGGGAGATTTGGGCCATTATCTCTTCATATATTTTTCCTACCCCTTTCTCTCTCTGTCTTTCTTGATTCTCAGTACGCCTATTTACATGTTTTATGGTTTCCCACACATTCATTTTCCCTTTTTCTTTCTATTCCTCAGACTGGATAATCTATAGACATTTCTTCAAGTTCGTTGACTCTTTTTCTCCGCCAATTCCAATCTGCCTCTGAGCCTCTCTAATGAACTTTTTGTTTCAGTTATCGTACTCTGCAAGGCGAGAATGTCTACTTGGTTCTTTAAAAACCTTTTAATCTTGTTATGGATAATCTCTATTTGCTGAGACACTGTTGTCATACTTTCCTTTAATTATTTAAACATAGTTTCCTTTAGTTCTTTGAACAGATCTCCAGCTGCTGACTTAAAGCCCTTGCTGCTAAGTCCAACAGCTGAGCCCTCTCGGGGACACTGTCTACTCTGGTGCGTTGTTTCCTCCCCGTCTGTATGGGACATATTTTCAAATTTCTTTCCAGGTTTCATAATGTTTTAGTTGAAAACTGGGCATTACAGATAACGTATTGGAGGAACTTTGGAACCGGACTCCTCCGCCAATAGGGTTTGCTCTTTATTTCCCCCTTCCCTTGCTGCTGTGTATTTGATGACTTTTCTGGACGGATTCTGTGGATCCTGTATTCTCTGTAATGCGTGGCTACTAAGTTCTCTATTCCTCTTGGAAAACCATGTTTTTATCTTGAAGCCTGGCTTCCCAAGGGTCACCCTCAGGTTAGCAGGGTTAATGGTCAGTCGGGAGGTTTCTTTAAATGCCTTACGTCTCCACCTTCTGTTGATGAGATCGAACTGCAGGCAATCCCCAAGTCAGCCTCAGCATCCACTCTGCTTCCGCACAAGGTCTCCAGGCCAGCCTGCGGCGAACGACCCGGTCCTTTCTTTCCCCGGGTCTTTCCTGAGCATGTGCGCGTCTGTGTGCACACGTGCGGTCTCCCGGTCCCCGGGAATATGTCGGGGCTTGTTAACCCCGCTGCGGTCACCTAGTGTGGCCGGTCTCCCGCTGGCCCTGGTTGAGATCCCAGCCTGGGCAATCTCCCGCAAGCGTGAGGCTAGCCGTCTGTGTTTTCCATCATGGCCCGGGAAGACGACCCTTCCGGGGAGCTTCGCCACCAGTCGGGACACTGTTTGCGCTTCGGGGCAGGGTGTTCACCGAGCCCCACAGAGGCCAACGTCCTTCACGGTCTGTGAAGCTGCTGTCTTCCCACAGCTGTGCTCCAAGGAGCTGGGGAAGGCTGGATGGGAGTAGCCCCCGCTTACACCATCACAGACCCACTCTTCTTCGTGGGTCCGTTTTTTCTCGAGTAAATGCTTTTCAGTTTGTTCCACCTCTTCGGTGAACTTCCAGATTGTGAAATGATTGATTTGGTAGTTCTGTCAGTATTTTTGTTGCTTTTTTGGGAGTGCTGACTGCGTGAGGCCCTCTCTCCAACACTCTGCAAGTCCTGTCCGTCTTGGCATCCTTTCCGAGCTCTCGAAAGGCGCCTCCGGCGAGAACCAGAGGGTCCCCGATGAAGACACACCACGGTCCTCCTGGGTTTGCAAGGCCCACTCACGCTTGCAAGCCAGACTTTTAAGCAGGACGCTTTAAATGGCACAGGTCTAGTGGGCGGAGATACTCATAACAGAGCCGACCCTGGTAAAGAGGCTGCACTTACACCACAGCTGGCAGATCCCCGTGGTGCTCCTGGCCTGTCACTTGTTCAGTGTGATGTGAGCACATTAACCAACCCGTCTGCGAGCCCCGTCTCCCCTGCCGAGTGTGGCCAACACTGGCACTTCCGGCCACGGGTCTGTTCCAAGGCTGAAGATGTGAACTGAGAGAACGTATGCAAACAGTCAGTCTGAAAAGCGCCAAAGGCCGTGCTGTTACTGGCACGTGGGTTCTCTGTTGACAATGATGCGTCAGCTCGGTCGGGAACGACTTTCTCAGTTCCGACGGGAAGAATGTTGCTACAATTCCAAGCATCCGTGTTCTTCTCTGCCTGAACGTGACGGACACCCGTGAGCCAGTGACTCGGTGTTCCTTAGGGATCCGTAGGTAAGAATACACTTTTCTGTCAGGAAGATCGCTTAAAAGCGTCCGTGCCTAGCCGTCTCTTTGCCTGCAGCTCCAAGGGCAGGAGAGCCCAGCGCCCGGCCTGAGTCACAGAAGAGTCTGGCTGCTCTTACAAAAACACAGTTGTCCGACAGATGTAGACAGAGCCCTCCGCTGCCCTGGTCACCACTCTCCCCAAAGAGACACCAGGCCCTGATGGTCGATCACCAACCGTGCTTTTTGAATGTGGCTATTATGCTCTTAAATGCTTTGCCTTACGGCTTCACGCTCCAGTGACGCGGCACAGTGGCGTGCTATTCGCAGGCTCACAGATCTGAAGGTATCTGTAAAGAGCGCTCATTCTCAAGTAGGAAAGCACCGCGAGCCTCAGAGAAAGAAAAGGCACGGAGCCCAGGCCCGAGTCGTACAACCTGATCTGTGGCAGAGACAAAGCCATTTAAAGAACTCTCAGAAAGGTGCCCTGCTCTCTGCAGGAGGAAGTCAGAAAGAACCAGCCTGGCAGTCATGAAATGCTTGTCCACGCACACTCTGCGACTATTCAGAGCTTGCCCGTGACAAAGGACAAAAGCACCACGAGCACGTCCCATGCTGCCCACAAGCACGAGCACGTCTGGGCATCAGCTGGCGGGTCCTCTGCGCTCCTGCCGTATGGAGCAGACGGAAGGCTGCTGAGCTCCATGGCGGTCTTGGGCTCTTCCCTTTGCTTTCCTTCCCCAACTCTATTTCTTCATCTCAAGTTAATGCTAAGAGGGAAACGAGCTAAGGCCCGTGACGGCGAGGAGAGGCGGAAACATCGCTGACGGCAATCCCACCAATCCCCCTCCAAGTACACAGAAAGCAGGCAGACTCTAGAACGGTATCGTCACCAGAAACCAGGTAACTCAAAGCACTCCGTGCTTCTAGGTAATGTCTATGCCAGGCAAGAATGGAGGAAAGTGCCCGGAACCTCACCGACACCGAAGCTCCCACGTCCCACGCGCTGAAGGGCCCCTGGCCCGCCTGGCCCCGTGGCGCATCGGAAGGAGCAGATGCTCTGCCGTCACGGCCCGACGGATTACGGGCTGGGTGCCGGTCTGTGTCTGCACGCTACTTCCAGAGGGCCTTCCTCAGCAGGCCTCCCGGAGCCCCCGCTCTCTTTCCCCTCTTCCTTCGTGGAGGCCCGGCCTCCTGACCACTGCCGCCCTGGGGGTCGGCCGCGGCAGGTTCCCAAGGGGAAGCACACACCTTCTGAGACAGCGGAAACACGGGGCTGGGGCGCTGCCCACGTCCACTTGAGAGACCCTCGTCACACTGACCAACAGTCTCTGCCAGTTGCCGGGTCACGCTTCGGTTTATCTGGACAAAGGCTAAAACATTTACACCAACGTCTGCGTATCTGACCCCCACGAGGCGCACTGTCCCTTGACGCACAGCTCCGTGCACACACGGACCGAGGGCCCCGCGAGGAGCGCACGCGGGTCGGAAAAGCCTGCCACGGCCCTTTGAGGCGCTCCGGTACCTGGAAGTGACCGGTTAGGGGCTCTGCGTCTTGGGTCAGCAGCTTCAGGCCAGGCCTGGGGGACTCACTTCTGCGCTGGGAGAGCCCTCTGCGGGGTCTCCAGAGAACCCATTCTCAGAGCCTGCAACCCACCAACAGCAAACCCTGTCTCCAGTGGCGTGGGGCGTAATTTTTACGCCTCGAGACTCCGAGGTGCACATCCACGTGCATGAAGGACTGACTCTAATGAATCATTTGCGTGGCTGAATTCATTCTTCTACCCATCACGCAGTAGCCGCCGTCCACAGTATTGACGACTCGCGTGTTTGATCACCGTGATACAGACTCTTTCCATCACTAATGGAATGGGGGAGGCCCCAGCCTTGGGTGCCAAGCCAGGTCAGTAAAACTTTCCATGAGGAAAGATTCTGTTCTCTCCCAGAGCAGCTTGGGCTGAAGGAAGAGGGGGGAGCAGAGCAGGGGACTCACAGCCCAGACTCGGGCAGACACGATCCTGGCCGCCTGGTCCACCTGCTTGTTGTTTTAATGACATGGAGACTTCTGGAAGGCTGAGCGCTGCTGGCGGGGACTGAAAGGGCCGATTGTGGCTGAGGCTGCAGGGCGGGCGGGGTGACAGCGGGGGCGAAGGCGCAGACACACCAACGCCTCGGGAGCAAGCGCGTCAGCAGCGAAGCTCAAAGGAGGTGCCCGTTTCTGCAAAAGCAGTTCTTGTGTGGGTCCTGTTCACATAACACGCGGTGAATGCCGTGTGCTCCAGAAACGCGTAGGGTACCTTTCCAAAGGCCGTGACACACGGACAGTTACACGTGCGCGTGTGTGAGCTGCTCACATTTTCACGTAAGCCACGGACAACCCGTTACCGCAGGGGGCGC